TCTGGTGAATGAGGACAATATTTTCGATAACTCAGTCATTTCTTGACGGATCATTCTTATTTTCTTCTCTCGGCCGAGATATGGATGAGATAATTCTGTGTACAAAATTTCAGCTCAATCGGATGTAACTGTGAAGAGTTATCGTGCAAACGGCCGGCCGGACATACTAACCGATTCTATAGTGTACTCACTTTTTGAGTACCCAAAAAAGAGGAATATGATAAAATATTCGTTTGAAATCGACGGACACAAATTGATTTTCTGATTGCTCTGGTTTTCTATGATTGCTGGTAATTTCTATCAATAGAAATCAGTTTTTATCTACTTAGCGCAAATAAATAAATATCTTTGGAAATGCTTAGTAATCAAGCAAAACCATGGGAAACCATTGAAAAGAAAGGGGTGCCCTTAAAAAATATATATGTAAATCCATGTTTTTCAGTTATAGTCTATTTTTACTCTATCAGTGTTTATAAAGAAGAAATATCCATGTCATATTAGCTTCAATTTAATTGATGATTATATAGATACCTTTCTTCCTAAATGATATATTTAGCTTATTTATCTTTTGTTTCCCATAGAGGAAAAAATATACAAAAATGTATAAATACTTCCATCGTTACTAATGATACCTTTTTCATAATCGCCCTTCGATTATATCTCGAAATACTGATCCAGACTACATCAACTTAGCTACGAACTGAACCGTGTCCAACTTTGTTGTTGAGAAGAATTTCACTCTAACTACTTGATTATTTGTCAACTACACTGAATTCTTCTTTTTCTTGGAACAGAAAGAATAATTCATTGTTTTCATAGATAAATTTTCTTTCCTCCAGACTCATTTTAATGAGTCTGTTCGGTAGCTATTGATCCAACACAGAGCAACCCCCCTTGTCAAATCATGGAAATTTTCGTGAAGGTGGCCGATGCAAATTCATATTTCTTGACATGCATAGTATTACCTTAGGGATGGGTGTGATCCCATTTGCGTCCTCAATAAGATCAGAGTTTCTCTGTACACTTGTGAATGTTCTTTCAAGTAAATATGTTTTCTGTTCAATAATTTTCCTGTCTTTCTTCAAAAAAAGAAACAAACTACAATCTCTTTTTAACGTTTTCGAGTTTCTTTATATATTTTTGTAGATCATAGTGATTTGATGCTAATGAATGTTGTCCAATGTCTACAGCGCGTTCATAAGAAGAGTTTGCTTTTGAATAGTCATCCATGTTCTCATACAACAAACCGATGTTATTGTAGGATGCAGCCAAGTCGGGATGATTGGGAGGAAGTGATTGTTGTTGAACTGTAAGGGCTTTTTCGAAATAGGAAAGTGCTTTCGAGTATTCACCCATGATGTTATACACTTCACCGATTTTGTTGTAGGAACAACCCAAATCAGGATGATTCGGAGGAAGTGATTGATGTCGAATTCCGATGGCTTTTTCGTGAAACGAAAGTGCTTTCAAGTGTTCACCCATATTGAAATTCACTTCACCGATGTTAGTGTAGGAATCGGCCAAATCAGGATGGTTAGGTGGAAGTGATTGTTGTCGAATTGCAAGGGCTTTTTCATTAGATGAAAGTGCTTTTGAATATTCACCCAAGTCCTTATACACTTCACCGATGTTGTGGTAGGAATTTGCCAAAGCAGCATGGTTCGGAGGAAGTGATTGATGTCTAATTACAAGAGCTTTTTCAAAATAAGGAAGAGCTTCTGCATATTTACCCATTCGACCATACAAACTACCGATGTTGTTGTAGAGCGTCGCCAAATCAGGATGATTCGGAGGAAGTGATTGCAGTTGAATTACAAGGGCTTTTTCGTAAAATGAAACTGCTTTCAAGTATTCACCCATGCTGTTATACATTGTACCGATGTTGCTGTAGGAAGCAGCCAAATCAGGGTGATTAGGAGGAAGTGACTGTTGCTGAATTACAAAACATTTTTCATAAGATGAAAGTGCTTTCGAGTATTCACCCATATGGTAATACACTGCACTCATGTTGTTGTAGGAGTCGGCCAAATCAGGATGATTGGGTGGAAGTGATTGTTGTCGAATTGCAAGGGCTTTTTCGTGGAACGAAAGTGCTTTCGAGTATTCACCCGTTCCGTTATACACATTACCAATGTTGTTGTAGGACATAGCGAAATCAGGATGATCGGGAGGAAGTGATTGTTGCCGAATTTCAAGTGACTTTTCGTAGTATGAAAGTGCTTTCAAGTGTTCATCAATATTGCCATACACATTACCGATGTTGTTGTAGGAATCGGCCAAATCAGGATGATTGGGAGGGAGTGATTGTTGTCGAATTGCAATGGCTTTTTCGTGTGAAGAAAGTGCTTTCGAGTATTCACCCATTCTGTTATACACATTACCGATGTTGTTGTAGGACATAGCGAAGTCAGGGTTATTGGAAGAAAGTGATTGTTGTTGAATTTCAAGGGACTTTTCGTAGGATGAAAGTGCTTTCGAGTATTCACCCATGCTGTTATACACTTTACCGATTTTATTGTAGGAAGAAACCAAATCAGGATGATTGGGAGGAAATGATTGTTGTTGAATTGCAAGTGTTTTTTCGTAAGATGAAAGTGCTTTCGAGTATTCACCCATTCTGTCATACACATTACCGATGTTGTTGTAGGACATAGCGAAGTCAGGATTATTGGAAGAAAGTGATTGTTGTTGAATTTCAAGGGACTTTTCGTAGGATGAAAGTGCTTTCGAGTATTCGCCCATGTTGTTATACACTTTACCGATTTTATTGTAGGAAGAAACCAAATCAGGATGATTGGTAGGAAGCGATTGTTTTCGAATTGCAAGAGCTTTTTCGTGGGACGAAAGTGCTTTCGAGTATTCACCCATGCCATCATGCACTGCACCGATGTTGTTGTAGGACATAGCCAAATCAGGATGATTGGAAGGAAGTGATTGCTGCCGAATTGCAAGGGATTTTTCATAAGACGAAAGTGCTTTCGAGTATTCACCCATGATGTAATGCACATTACCAACGTTATTGTAGGAAGAAGCCAAATCAGGATGATTGGTAGGAAGTGATTGTTGTCCAATTGCAAGGGCTTTTTCGTGTGACGAAAGTGCTTTCGAGTATTCACCTATGCTGTAGTATACTACACCGATGTTGTTGTAGGACATAGCGAAGTCGGAATGACTGGGAGGCAGTGATTGTTGTCGAATTGTAAGAGCTTTCTCGTAAGAGGAAAGTGCTTTCGAGTATTCATTCATGGTGTGATACACATTACCGATGTTGATGTATGAATCAGCCAAATGAGGATGATTAGGAGGAAGTGACTGTTGCTGAATTACAAAAGATTTTTCATAAGACGAAAGTGCTTTCGAGTATTCACCCATGTTGTTATACACCATACCGAGATTATTGTAGGAAGAAGCCAAATGAGGATGATTGGGAGGAAGTGATTGTTGTCGAATTGTAAGAGCTTGTTGGTAAGACGAAATTGCTTTCGACCATTCACCCATGTTGTTATACACGGCACCGATGTTGTTGTAGTACATAGCCAAATCAGGATGATTGGGAGGTAATGATTGTTGTTGAATTGCAAATGATTTTTCATAGAATTTGATTGCTTCTTCATATTCTCCTTGCATATTTTTGGCCTTCCCTAGTTGATGATAAATAGGTCCTTTTTCACCTTCGACCGTTGCCTGCTCAAGTAGAACTTGATACATTTGATAGGCCTTATGAGATTGACCTAGTTTGAGGAGCACTAAACCCAATCTGTACCATCCTGTTGAGTCTGGAAAAGTCTCTTCTCGGATGTGGTTTGTAAGTAAACGCAGATCTTTATCATCATCAGTGGTAAGTGTCAAGTTCACTTGGAAGATACGTTGATTTTCATCTGTTGATTTGACGTCATTGATGCGAAAAACTGTATGCATAGAGAAAAGTACTTCCTCTTCTGCATCTCCAAAATGGCCAACGTCGGTGACAGAAGCAAAGGGTGTTGTTGATTTGGATGGATCAACCATCATAACGAAGAGAATTGCGACCAAATTGGGATCGCTCAAGATGCTTTCAGCGAAGAGAAAAGAAACCTCTCGCTTTTTACTGGTGGATAAAACGTTGTTGAAAGATATGAGACCACCCTTTGTATTCATCAACTGATCAAAATCTATCTTTGACATACCTTGTCCACGATAGACTGTGAAGACGTTATTAGTATGATGTTCACCAAATTGCTCGGTATGCAATTGTTGTATTTGATGATGAAGATCCTTGATAAAGAAACCCATATTAATAATGATGTTCACTTCCATGGTTCGAAGGGCGTGATTCAGCACCGAGTAGAACAAAGGTTCAGATGTATACCATCGAATTGGTGTCTGATTATGATATTCTTTTTCTAATTTGTTGACATTCTCTAATGTGGCTTCATTGTCAATGCGCTTATCGCGAGAATTACGAAAAAACTCCTGAATATTTTTTTCTCCAAATTCAATTGTTAATAAGATCTCTTTAATAATTTGTGTATACATAAATGAGCAGTTGAGCTTATCCAAACTTTTAATGGAAATATTTTCATCAGTTCTCACGATGCTAATTGGAACGGTATTCTGTTCAGATCGATCTGCAATTTTCTTCAAAGCTTGACAGATAGATGCGATATCTGGGAAGATCCCTTTGATTTTGGGCCAATCTTCAGCCCATTGTTCAAGTTTGTTTTTTTCTCTGCATAAGATGAAAATGGTTTGAAGTTGAGTGATATCATGGGTCCGTGGTACAACGTCTTGACATAGTGCACCGGAGATGATCATGCAAGCTTTGTCGTTGTCAGAGTCGGTAAGAAAGTCGATACATTGATCCCGGTCGCCAAACATATGAATGGTATCACTAACGTGCTGTAGTTCACCAATAGCAGATCGGCCATTGGTACTATTAACATCAATGTTGGTTTCCAGCCAGACCAGTAGAACATTTTGTATCATCCCGATATTTGCTCTTCGATGTGGTAGTGTATCTTTCAGCGTTATTCAAATATTACACCAATAAAAATATTGTTTCATGATAATAAAAATATTTGAAAAGAAAAAGGAAGAGGAAAGGGTGTGGGTGTGGGTATGGGTGGGTGTGGGTGTGGGTGTGGGTGTGGGTGTGGGTGTGGGTGTGGGTGCTGGTGTGGGT